TCCCAGCCTGACGCCCGCGCTGTCCCTGACGTGCACTTCACTATTACGCAATGTTTTGTGCGGGTTCTTTCACGCCGCTCGCTTCTCTCTCAAATAAACCAAATATTATCCGCCTGTGTGATTACATTAACTACAGTCAAATCTTTATTTAACATCAGATGTTTTAATCAGCCTCAAACATCTACATTAACTCATTAAAATCACCTCACAATGAGGAAAGGCAGGATTTCACTTTCAGTAAATAAATAAATGACTGAGATTCTTCCTCTGATGCAATGCTGCTGCTCAAACGATAGTTTCGAGAATCATTAACCGCCCATAAAGCCTGTGATTAACAGTCGGTTTGATTAATCATTTAAGCCAAATTAATTAAGCCTTTTCATTTTGTCAGTTCTGTTGTGCAATGTCATAATAAAACCAATATTATAAACCCATAATTCATCCTTTTCTTCTAAACGCTTTCTTGCATAACAAACATGCAGCATTTTAGTCACACAAAATTAAGTAATCAAAGCAATTAATGAGGATTAATTACCATTACATGAATTCAGCTGTCATTTAACATTTAATATAATTCAGTATTCTAGGTCGGTCTAGTCTCAGTCAACAGTGAGAAATGTAACTATTTGGCATCAGTGTGTTTTATGTAAAGAAAGAAAAAAAGAGACGGCGATTATTATATTTCCCTGACGAGAAATTATTGGTATTGCTCATCAACCTACCAACAATGCCCTGAATATTCAGTTCTCAGCCTCAAAACGTCAAATGCACAGTAACATACGGAGTATAAACTGAAAGCAGCCCTACCTGCGCCAGCTGTGTGTGTGTGTGTGTGTTTGAACTCTGTTCTGCACAGCAGAAGTTCAAAGACCATCAGCTCTCCTCTTATCTGCAGGAATGCTCTCAATGAGTGAGAGCTGACCACAATCATCAGTGTGTGTGTGTTAAAGTAGCCCAATCAGTGCGGGGTCAAAGGTCAGTGTGAGCCGAGAGCGTGTCCTGCTTTTCGTCCACTCATCTTAAGATGCACACACTGACCAAAGCATCACCTGCTGTGATTTTAATGGCATCTGGCCTTGAAAACTGGATTCAGAGACGCTGACTGAGGGAAGTGGCTGATGTGCGTGTAAATACGAAATAATGGACATCCAGCCGGTTGTTATCTCAGGATAAATCCCGCAGGGTATGAGGATCGTCCATCAGCCTGAAGGGGTTTATTCTGAGATAACAATAGTGTTGCTCTCTCTCACCTTCACTTTCTCCTCACAGTCACGACAGCTAGATCAATAGCTATAGAAGCACTGTGATTACGATGACCTTTCACAAAATTATGGGATTATGGGATTTTTTTTCATTATTGATCGTACATTGATCGTACAGAGGTCAAAATTATCGTTCAAATACGATAATTATCGTACGTCTGGCAACACTGGATAGCAACCGGTTGGATGTACATTATCCCGCTTATTGGATAGATTGTATAGGATAGAGATAATGCAAGAGAAAGAGTTCAAAAGAGTTCAAAAGTCCTGCTTTCTTCTCGACAGGTAAATCAATATTACAGTCTTGGTTGTGGACAGATGAACATTTATAGTTAAAAGTTTATGATATCTAATGCATTTCTACCGCTAGATGGCAGCAATTCCTACACAATGTCCCTTTAAAGGCACTCTATGCAAGATCTACAGCTTCAAAGTCGTTTCGGTGGTAAACAAAGTCATAAGCCATGTTTCCATCGACACGGTTTTATCCGAATGAAGTGATATCGAATGAAAAATACCTTATGGAAACAGTAAAATTCGATTAAATTTCATGAAAATCGACTCAAATGAAATGCGTTCGGTCTCATCGGATTTTATCTTGATCGATATACGGCTAAAAGCTGATGGAAACGTTATTTGCCGAATAAATAATGAATTGCGATTAAGTTTTATGCCCTTTTATGGTTGCAAAACGCCCCAAAACATAGAAGAAGACGATTTCATTTCGCGCACACATGGCGGATGTAAGTGGACAAAGCCAAAAAAATGCTTCAACCAAAGGTTTTCCGTGAAGTGTCTCTGAAACACGATTTCCAAGAACTGATGGAGCGCTGTCGTTCCCACACCACAGGCTGCCTCCGTTGTCGTCGGGCATCGCATCATCGTAGAAATGCGTTTATCCACAAGTTTCCTACGCCCCATGAGGCCTTGCGTCAAAAGTGGGCGCGACTTCCGGTTGGAAGTAAACAAAGCACGATTTGACATGCTTGACACTCGTTCATTCAACAGTTGACAGTCATTCAAGTTATAGCGATCCAAACTAGCTAACGATGTGGGAACACAACCTCAACGAAATTAAAAAAGGTGAAATAACAGTACCTTTACCCTCTGCAGTAGTTGATTGGGAGTATTATAATAACATTATTAATAATCAATACTCATCAAGGCATGGTGACAGACAGTTGTGTGAACTGACAAACAATTAAAATAAAAAATACACACTTAGTCATTGTGCTTTGGAGTTTATTCAAAATTATAAATGAATGTGCTACTTGAATACATTAACTGGCACATTTGGTATTCTGTCAACACAGGCTTTGATCCTGAGTTTAGCTGTAACATCAGTAGCGAACAGCCAAACACATGCTGATAAAAGTTTATAGAATATCAAAAATTTAAACAAATGTACACAGGAAGATTCGTCGTCTTTTGGGAGGTGATTGAAACTACAGTCGTTGGCAGGAAAACTCTGATTTCGTTTTCAGCATATGTTCAAAACAATCACGTTTAAGCCACTGAACTAGTTTAGTCCGGTTATACATACAACCGCGAACAGCACATGTTGTCCATGAACTCCGTAACACCATCTCTCATAAAGATTTGCGTCTTTAAATAGTAAAATAATTCTCCGAAAAACAGCTAGCCTCTTCGCTAACTAACACACAAAATACCATTGGAATGCTACTTCCGCCGCCTCACCGGAAGTTTCACCCACTTTATTTTTTACAGGAGCGCCCCTCGGAAACTTGTGGATAGCGTCGTTGTTTTCTAAGGATAGGTTGGCTTGTTATTACTTGGCTTGGTTGAATTTTAATTTATAATGTGGTCTGTTATTTCTTGTTAACAGACTGCGGCGCTGCTAAGTATAACACACTGTTGCCATGGACGCAGTTCAGAGACGCAACATACTATTTTCTTTAGCAGAAGCAATACTCGTTTTTAAATCAATAAAATCCTTTTTGAGTCAATATTTTGTGTTGGGAAAAAAAAAAAAACGTGAAATATTGAAATAATGATGGGAAAAACCCAATAATAACCGCGGCGCCCCTGACACATCTCACGAAGGTTTACGGCAACGACGTCACACACATCAACAACAACATACTGTATGAAGCTACTTTGTTGATGGACTTGTAAGTAAATCTCTTATTTATAAACTTGTTTGCGTTCTATGTTGTTTGTTGTTACGCTGGCTTGTAGTATGTCATTTTTTACGGTGCTGTTCATTCAGCCGTTGTTGATAATTAGACCAGTTCAATAATTCCCACATATGTCTAGCTAGCTTTCAATTTCCTGAGCTGAAAGCAGACTTCCTAACAAACAGTCGTTTCTCTTAGTTTTGTTTTTTTTCGTTATGTTTTATTGCCTAGCTTGCCACAAGAGCTAGTTTGCTAGCTGAACTCAGGTGTTGTGATGTGTATTTATCACGTAACGTTAATCCTGTGTTTGGTTCGGATTTCTTATGGCGTGCGTAACTTTAGCTGACTGACAGTGCACTTCCCGACTGTAATTTTTCTTCAAATTGTGTTGATTATGAATCAATTAAATCTTGACGCTGTTGATGTTGATTCCTGCGATTTTCATGAGGACATAGTCAATATCTCACATAATTATTAGGACATATGAGGTTGTAAAGAGTGTAATTGAACACAATTTGCCAACTATTATGATAAATTGTAATAATCATGTCTAATGAAATCATAACGGCCAATGTTATGAAATAATGCGACGTACATTTAACTTTATTGATGTCATCTGACATTTTGTAATGCTTACATTACAATCAAAAAACAAATGAAATCATACAGTAGTCCTACACTATAGGCTATTTACTTGTGATTTAGCAGAAATCATGTAAAAAAATGTTTATTATTATAAAGTAGTCTGGACAGTAGTTCAGTAGATATGCAGTAACAGGGGAATAACGGTTATTTATGACAGTGCAAGTACACCACGGCGGCACTAGAGGTCACTGTTTTACAAAAAATCAGAGAATCCGTGGCTTTAATTATCATTCACAAATATCAAATTTTATTTTAATTTGGAGCTTATGCTGGCTAATTTTGACATTTAACATGTTATCATAACACTGAACAACTGAACAGTGTGTTTTGTAATAGGACTCTATCAGGGTGTGTCTCAATTTACCCCGCAGGCCACCTCGCACATTTCTCTAGATTTTGTAATGACCTTGCATGACACAATCTCATGAAATATGCCAGTTTTTAGGGCACAGAATAACGTTTGTGATGAGACCAGTTACATTTAACAGTCACATAAGGATAATAATCTATTCATTGTGGAGTGTGCATGGTGAAGTGAAAGTCTTATCTTAGAAAGAATAAATTTTGCCTGTCTTCGGATCGGCGATGTACTTATTTTTAACAAGTAATTACTTCACAACCTCTTAAAGAGTATGTTCTCTATAGTATGAATGTGTGTAGTTGAATCCCTGCATCTCAATGTTCACACTATCCATCCTAAACGGTGTATGAGATTAAAATAAGTGTGTCCCATAGCACATTATGTTGAATCCGTGGATGTGTGAATCCGTGCTCTCTATTAAGGCTAATATTACCCACAACCCATTGTGCTTTGGAAGATGAATCACTTCAGAACTACAAACACAAGTTAAAGGTGTTAAAAAACTACAAAAATGGTGGATATGCGTGCTCATGTGGCGAGGTTAGATAAAGGGCTGAGTGATCTCAGATTAAAGGAACAACTGACAGACAAAACTGTTTTTACAAACATGATCATTTTTATTGGTCTGATTACAGTTATCAAGAACGACTGCAGTCAAAATAGATTTCTATAGACACAACAGTGTTATTCCAGTCGAGCACAGCCCGGACACGTCATCCACGCGAGGACACAGTAATCGGACGTGCTTCGTTCAGTCTGTTGTGTTTAGTGCCTTAATTCAATCTCAGCCCAGAATAGATTGTGTAAGCTTGGATATATAATGATGGCGAAGTCTTGAAGCTGTGCCGTCCATGTCACCTACAGAAAACAGCCGCATTTGATTCGATTTGACAACTTTGTGTAGGGATGCATGCAAGATATATATCGGCCACCATATATGTTCATTTTTAATGTTATCATTATCAGCCAGATAAGAAAACTTGGCATATATATAAATTAAAGCCGATATGGTGGTTTTGAATTGCTTGAAATATGATTAGAATCACTTCAAAAAAGCAAAATACAGCAAAGTTGATCTTGCACAGCCCAAGTCTATCATATCGGCTACATAACATTATTATGAGAACATTATAATTGTGTGTTTGGGATGTGGCTTTTAATGGTGAGACTTTTGTTTTTGTAATCAGACTCTCAAAAATTATAAAAAAAAATTTGGATTTAGATTTATCGGCCGATATATCGGTTATCGGCTTTGAAATATAAAGAATTATCGGTATCGGCCAAAATGTTCATATCAGTGCAACCCTAACTTTTTTATGTGATTTGATTCTCAATCCTTAATTGTTAATTCAATAAAAACAATGGCATGTTGTTTTGGACGGCATGTATGAACAGATATATGACACTTACATGTTGAAGAGCACAGGCAGCGTTTGAGCGTGAGTGCATCACCTGAACCAGAGATCATAAGAGATCATAAGTTTCCATAATGAAAAACAACATGCATTCATAACTTATAACTGCATTTGAAAAAGCAACACGCGTCAAACATGAGAAGCAGTTATGAACATCTTGTGTGTGTGTGTGTGTGTTTGTGTGTGAGATGCCCTCTGGTGTTCAGATGGATATGTGGTGTGTGTGAGAGAGCTCCCTCTGGTGTTCAGATGGGTGTGTGTGTGTGTTGGACGCCCCCTGGTGTTCAGATGGAGTATTTACTACGATCAGCCGCTGCACTGACAAACTACATTTAAAAATAATCACAGCCTTCGCCAAATGGTGTGCGGCTTTGTTGTGATTAACCTAGTGTGTGTCCGTGTGATGTTTGCTCCTGTTTTATAGTAGTAATAGTGACGCTTGCCTCCCTTTTGAGTCGTACCTCCTTTTCCCGGCCAGAACTGAGTTGAGGTATTTCTTGGCCGCCATCTGTTTGCGGTAGCGGCTGTAGTTATCGGTGAAAACGGCGTCCGAGTGACGTTTGACAGGCGTCTCATCCACTCCCAGCTCATCACTGCGGCACACGCACAGGAGAACACACACCGCCTCATGATTAACAGCTTCATTCAGTCAGCCACAACAGATGCTGTGTTATCTTTAGCAGTTGTGTATCTATTATATGAACATCTATTATCAAGTCAAGTCAGCTTTATTGAGATGGTCCTCACTGCAGAACACGAAATCCAGGGGGAGGAGTTACGTATCTCTGCCCTCTGATCCCTAACCCCACCCCTAATCCTACCCATCTCCGCCCCTTAGATCTGGATCCAACTCCGCCCCCTGGATCTCGTGTTCTGCAATGAGGTGCTACTGGCTTTATTACTGTAATATAGCGCTTTTTACAATACAGATCAAAACAGCTTTATAAAATAATGCTCCCAGGTCTTCCACAAACTGCTGTGGTGATGTACACTATCTGTCAAAAGTGTAGAATAATTAATAATGCAATATATATTAGGGATGCATGATATGTCGGCCAGCATATCGGTATCGGCCGATATATGTTCATTTTTAATGTTATCGTTATCGGCCTGGTAATAAAATGTGGCCGATATATTAAAGCCGATAAATAATGTATTATTCCCTTCAGCTGAGACACTTGTTGAGCACTGTTTATGTTTTTGAATTTCTTGAAAAATGATTGAAATCTCTTCAAAAAATGAAAATCTGGTTCGGGACAACATGTGCAACGTAAATCTCATCTGTCATATCGGCTATACAACACTATAATGAGAACATCATTATAATTGTGTGCTTGGGACGTGGATTTAATTGTGAGACTTCTGTTTTTGTAATCAGGCTCTCAAAATTAGATAAAAATTACTTGGATTTAAGTTTATCGGCCGATATATCGGTTATCGGCTTTCAAATATATTAAGAATTATCGGTTATCGGTATCGGCCAAAATTTTCATATCGGTGCATCCCTAATATATATGTATATATATATATATATATATATTCAGCATCATTACTCCAGTCTTCAGTGTCACATGATCCTTCAGAAATCACTCTCTATATTTTTTCAGGATTCAAATAATCTCAGGATTATTTTGAATAGTAAGTCAAAAGAACAGCATTTAATACAAAACCTTTTGTAACATCATAAATGTCTTTACTGTCACTTTTGGTCAATTTAATGCTCCTTCCTTAATGCAACAAAGTTTGTTTCTAGAAGAAAATAGCAACAGATCAATAATATTGTTCAATATTAAATTAAATGTCCCCAACTAAGCAAGACAAAAGCCAAAGGCGGCAGAGGAACCCAAAACTCCACCAGTGACAGAATGGAGAAACTTTGCGTTTATGATTATGATTCATGCATTACAGGATTGCATTGAAACAGTCAGTTCCTATATTCTCTCTACCTGACTCTCTTTGCAAGTAAAGACTCCAGATACTCTTTGGCAGACAGTTGTCCGAGCAGTTTGCTGTATCCGCTCGTGAAAAGCCCATCAGCGTGTCTGGACGGTCTAAAAGACACAGAGAAACATAAAAAACACTTTTTATTGGATTGAAAGATGGAGCTTTCATGGAAACTCAAAGTTGTTTGTCCCCTTCATCATTATCATCATCACGTTTACAGCTTCAATCTTTCCTCTGGAAATGGATCTATTAAATGTTTACGAGAGATAGTGAAGCGGTGTGACACACACACCTCTGGACGGGGTTTGCGAGTTCGTACAGGAGTTTATACGCCTCGAGATCCTGCAGAGACGAGTCTCTCGTCCAGTCGTCCTCTCCGTCCTCATCAAGAGCGCCCGGTCTGCAGAACACAAAACACACATCTTGTTCTGTACGCAAAGAACATACACTAATGAAAATACGATTTTTTTACTTTTACGTATTTATTTATAAATATAATGTAAGAGTCCTACAAAAAAAATTGTTCAGGTCATATTTCTCATCAAATCCAATAGAAATAAAGAAGCTAATATAATTTTTTTGCATTGTAGCATTGTTTTCAAGGCAATTAAACCCATTTTATAACAATTCTCATTACTGAAAAGTATATATATATATATATATATATATATATATAGATATTTATACATATATGCAACAATATATAATGCAAATTTAGATAAACATTGCCATTCAAATATAACATTGTAAAACAAACCATAAGGATAAATAAATATGTTTAATATGGATTCAATTATATTTAAAGAATTTATGTGTGTGTGTGTGTGTGTGTATTGCAAATTATAAATATATGCTGATTCAGTTACAATAATGCACTTTTTTTCATAAAAATTGGCATAAAAATAATGTCACAACGCAAAACGAATCGATAATGACGATAAAATAGGTTTAATTTCAGCCAATTTCTATTTAGTAGATATGTCCTGAGTCTATATAGATCAGTGGGTGACATTAATTTGATTTAATCTATAATACAACATTATGTACAATAAATATATAATCCAAAAATAAACATATGATACAATAAAACAATCTTAAAAATTAAATATTTATATTTTTTTAAATGAATGCTGAAAATAGTAAGTGAAATTAATTTGATTTAATTTATAAAACAATATTATGTACAAAAAAATATAATATAATAACAATCACATGATACAATAAAATATACATTAAAACATTACAATACATTTTTTTCAATGAATGATTAAAAAATAAGTGAAAATAATTTGGTTTCATTTATAATTTAATATTGTGATAAAAAAAAAAATCATAAGATAAATCTTGCTTGAAAAGCTGCGGTGTGTCTGACCTGATGTCTGTGTACGCAGAGATGGCCGGCAGAGCGAGCGCGCGACAGCAGAACAGCCCACAGACGGCCATCAGGACCAGCGTCGAGAAGCTCACACCGCTCATCACTTCTGCAGATGTGCAGGTCACACACTCTCAGTATTCACACACACACACCCTCAGCAGTATATCACACGCGAGTGTTTGTCCTGTTTGCATAACTGGCACTTCATAAAAGCTATAAATCTTTTTTTCAATATTACAATTTTAACTTAAAACGATATAAAATGCATCTGAATTGCCATTTTAAGTTCACGTTACAAATGCATTTTTTGTAATTAAACATAAACCCACCCTAGATTAAATCCAACAGTTAGGTTTGACCACATTTGACCCAAACATAAGCTCTTTTTTAAAAAAAAAAAAGAGTGTACCCAACTGAAATGAATATTAAAAGTGTTTTATCCATCCGTATAACAGTAATAAGTGTCCAGCTTGAAAGAACTCACCGTCAGGATGTTTTCGCTCGGGTTATATGATCTCTGACTCCTGTACGGATGAAGAATAGTTCCCCGTCGCTCTGTCGCTCGCTTTTATACACCTGATTATTCTCTTTCCTGAACGAGTGTCCACGTCTGTCCTGCGTCACGCCGGTCCCGGTGGGATACACCCCTGTGGATGGTGATCTGGTGGTCGAACATAAATTGGGTTTCTCGGAAAGATTTGTTACTGCTGACTCATTTTTTTATTTTTGTTTTTTTATGATACTTAAATACACTCTGCATGTTTTTGGCATTTGCTTTGACTTCTAACATGTGAGACGTTTGGCTTTGGGAAGTCAGATGTGGACGTTTCAGAGTCGGGACGGGTTAAGACGCTGGTAATTGGGCATCTTCATTAGATTGTGAAAGGTATGACGTGATGTGTGTTGAATCAGGGTCGTTATAGAAGCATCGGTCAATCATATTACAGAATTCTGCAGGTCTGCTGATCTAATATTACTGCACGATATTTCTCCACGCACACTGTATTCAGGTCAGTGTACAGTACAACAGGTCACCTCAGGCCGAAATACAACAGTCTGGATCTTAACAACACAAATATACAAGTAAAATATACACGGTTCTTGTTACATACTGTATGTGTACAATAGAGATGACATTTTTGGCACTGTAAAAATAAATATTTTGAGTTTATATTTTTCCTTTTATTTGCCTTGTCCTTCATATTGAGTTACACACAGCACTTTATTTAAATGTTTTATCCATAGCCAAATGTAAAATGGGACGTAACATTTCTATTAAACAAGAAATTAATTATTGATTTCATTAATAAATGTGTTGATTTTTATGATTGCCCATGCAAAGCCTGTTTCTAGGGTGTTGTTATGCTACAGTATGCGGTTGCTAGGGTTTTCTAGTTGGTTGCCAAGTCTCTTTGATATTCTGGTCTGTATTTACGGCCCAATTTAATTACAATAATGCATGTTTTTAATAAAAAAATGGTATGGAAATAATGTCACAATGCATGATGAATCCATAATGATAGGTTTCATTTAAATTAAATAATTATAATTAAAAAAAATATTATCCATGTGATTTAATTAAAAAAATTACAATTTTATTTTGGTAAATAAATTAGGAAAATAATTTATGAATATGAAAATACTACACATTAATCTGAATTTAAAAAACAACATTTTTTTTTAAACTAAATTATAGATATTATCTGGAACTTAACAACAGAAATATAGAACCAAAATATGCTTGTTGCATAAAATTAAAATTCTGTAAGTAATGATCATTAATAAATGCATTAATTTCTATCAAAAAGCAACTTTCTGGACCGGTGTTCTGACAATTCATGCTACCCATCGAGATTTCCTACTTACCGGTTATGCGCATGTGCAGACTCACAGTTTTTTTTTTATTTTATTTTTTTTTACAAAAGGTACATTTTCCTGTTAAAATGTATAATTTCCCTTTAAAAAATACGGAAGCCCTGAAGCGCAACCTAAAAAAAAAAAAAAAATCTGTAAAAAAAAAAATCTGTAAAAAAAAAAAAAATCTGTAAAAAAAAAAAAAAAATCTAGCATTTCGAGATTAAAGTCGAAATGTTTCGAGATTAAAGTCGAAATGTTTCGAGATTAAAGTCGAAATGTTTCGAGATTAAAGTCGAAATGTTTCGAGATTAAAGTCGGAATGTTTCGAGATTAAAGTCGGAATGTTTCGAGATTAAAGTCGGAATGTTTCGAGATTAAAGTCGGAATGTTTCGAGATTAAAGTCGGAATGTTTCGAGATTAAAGTCGAAATGTTTCGAGATTAAAGTCGAAACATTGTGCATTCATAACAGTGCGCGTCCACTGGCTCAGAGCGCGCGCGCGCGCGCGTGTGTGTGTGTGTGAAGTCGAACTGCCATGGATAAACACAAAATAGTAGCTTTTTACTTTTATCTGAATTACTTATCTTACTTTATCGTTATAAAATATAATGCGCCGGAATAGACTTTAGCCTATAGACGAATCCGGCGAAACTACCGGAAGTAAGCGGGGCGCCATTACTGAGCTGTTGCTGGGTAGCGTTGCGCCATTGCCTCCTATTGTTTTAGTTGCAACTTGCGTCCACTGGAATAAACAGCCCGCGATTTACGACTGTCACTAACGTTACAACGTTATCCCTTGTATAATGTCGAGTGGGTAAACAGTTTTCGTTATAAATTGTTTCAATGGTGGCAGTAAAATTTCAATTTTGAAGAGAAAACACTGTGAATACCCCGGGTCGACTGCCCCTGTCTGGTGCCGTACGGTTTACAGATTTCCTGGGCGAGTACAAGACGTGGACATTCGCGTATAATAACAATTATTTAATGACATAAGTAAAAAAAAATATAATAAATATGTGATATAGTGATCAGCAAAATCTCCTCTCTTGCTATTTTTTCTATTAAATTAACATGCTATTGTCATTAAATGGCTTTCCTGAGCTAAATGTAACGTTATGTGACATAATTGTTCTCCCGCTGTTATATTTACCTCTTTCCATGGTTTAAAAACACTAATTGGTCGATATTATGTATACTTTCTAGCTGTAACGTTACCTTACCCTTGCCTGTTGCAATGTGAAAATGAGATAAATAATGGACACAAATGAAAAACATGAATTTGTTTATTTGATTTCATTCATTTATTTATTTATTGTTGCCAAATGGACAGATCTTTTTATAGTTTCCTCGTTAGCAAACGTTAGCCTAGCTAGCTTGCCAAGCTATTTTCATAAATAACGTTAATCTGTAAGATCGTTTGTACCTTCATCTGTGACTGGAGGCCACTGCAGTCACAGATCAAACCAACAAGTCATTCTGCCTGGCTGTAGCTGTCATCGAGGGTGAGTTCGCGTTATCACCGAGGTTTGTTTACATACCGGTGCATATGTCTATATGCCTGTGTAACAGCTCAGTAATGGCGTCGCCACAAGATGGCAGCCTACACAGAACGCTCGTCGGATTCGTCTATAGGAAAACCAACACGGAAAACACTTTTCAGACTGGATGGAGAATTCCAGCTTTATGAATGAATGAATGAATGAATGAATGAATAGGGCATTTATAGCGCTTTCATATATGCCTACACTCAAAGTGCTTTACAATCATATCAGAGAATCTCTCCTCAACCATAAGTGGTTATTAAATCTTAGGAAATCACAGGATCCGGCCAAATGATTGGATACAGAATGATGCACTTAAAATGTATACAGAGCGGTACGTTGAAGAGGGAGACCGAACAGTTACTGTTGTTGTGTTCTCGACCCAGATAGTGTTGACTAGACGAGCACGAAAACACCTCAGAAACACTGCCACTAGCACGTGTGACGTGTGTAGATTTTGTTGAAAGCCCAGATAAAAGTAAAAAGCTACTATTTTGTGTTTATCCATGGCAGTTCGACTTCACACACACACACCAGTGGACGCGCACTGTTATGAATGCACAATGTTTCGACTTTAATCTCGAAACATTTCGACTTTAATCTCGAAACATTTCGACTTTAATCTCGAAACATTCCGACTTTAATCTCGAAACATTTCGACTTTAATCTCGAAACATTTCGACTTTAATCTCGAAATGCTAGATTTTTTTTTTTTTTTTTTACAGATTTTTTTTTTTTTTACAGATTTTTTTTTTTTTTTTTTACAGATTTTTTTTTTTTAGGTTGCTGTTCAGGGCTTCCGTAAAAAAATGCTTACTACCATATGAATATTTGTACGGTCAGCCAGCTGAAAAGGAATAACTGAAAGTTTCAGTTACTATAAGAAAAGGTGTAGTTTGACAAGTCAAAGATGAATATTTTATGATAATTTTTACTTTTCACACCGTTTTAAAAATAAAAACAGTAGTCTACAGTATACAGTAGCTACTCATAACTTAGAATTGTATTAGAATTGTATTTCATACGGCTTTAATCGGCATTCTGTGATCAATTCGCGCTACGGTAGCATTTTTCGACAAGGCAGCAAAAATCGACAGAACACTGGTCTTGAATCCAACACTGAAGTGAGTTAAACTGCAGTTCCTCCACTGGCCTCTAGAGGCCGGCTGCAAAAGAGACTCACTCCCATAGGCCCGCATGTTAAAATGCCTAACTTTACAGCAGAAAAAAACATGTTTACAGCCTGGTACAAAAACTGGTTTTAGTCTATATTGTTAATTTTGCCCTTCATGACGACTGTGAGGGGGGTGAATATTTTTATAACTCATCCGTTTAAATTATATAAAGCCTTAAAGTTCTGCATAATTAAGGGCGTGGCCACTTGAGTGACTGGTGGATTACCCCTGATGTCACTACTAGCCATTTGCTGTCTGTTCACATCTACAGTATACTTGCCCATGCAAAGCCTGTTGCCAGGGTGTTGCTATGGTGTTCCAAGTGTTTATAGTGCGTTGCTATGCGTTTGCCACAGGATGTTCTGGTTGGTCGCCAGTCTCAGTGATATTCCGGTCTGTATTTACGGGTCAGGTGTGCTCTTCATCATCAGCATGTGCGCAGTAAAGCGAGCGGCTCTGGGTTTCTTGCAGTGATGCTGGTCTGTGAGTTTGTAACGACCCTCTGAGGACTTCATTTCCTGACGACCGTCAAACCAGACCATAAAACCAGAGCTGGAAATTAGACACTAATTACCAAGGTTCTAATGATGTTCTTTGATGAAAGAAGTTTATTTATTTTTGCTCTTTATGTGGAGCCCATCACATTTCTCTTCATCGATGTATCTGTTGTTTGTTGCGTTCCTCTTGTACGTTTATTGCTAAAGGATCCAGAATCAAAAGTGTTCATGCATGTTCTGAATCTGAAGAACCACTAATGAACACCAAACTCTTTAAATCAACGAAGAACATATAATGACTTTGATGAACGCAAACTGCTCTAATGAACCATTGATGTGTGTTTTTTGTTATTTTGTATATGAATAATTGATGATCCATATATTTCATCTTTTGGTCTGTAAAATTACTATTATGTTATTGCTCTTAGACAAAATATAGACTTTGACTTTTTGCATTTGTGTGGTTTTATAGCACCTTTATTAACCCAATGAAGAAAATAATCAAATGCACATAAAGTGTAAGTTGGGATGAACCGATATGAACATTTTGTCCAATACCGATAACCGATAATTCTTTATATTTTAAAGCTAATAATCGATATATTGTGCTTTAAAACTAAATCCGAGTTTTTATATAATTTCTGAGAACCTGATTACAAAAACAAAAGTCTCACTATTAAAATCCATGACTCAAACACACAATTATAAAGTTCTCATAATAATGCTATGTAGCCGATATGTTTGATTCAGTTCAGCCGATATGAAGTGATTTCATTCATATTGTAAAAGCTTCACTTTGAACAGTGCGCATCTGAAGTTTCTTAAGGTGACTGAAAGAAAAAGGCTTTAATATATTGGACAATTTGTTTTATTAATGTTATTATTTATAAGAGTCTCTCCTCTTTTAAAAAACAGATTAAAACTTGGATTTAAAGAAAATAATCAACTGCACATAAAGTTTAAGTTGGGAATGGGATGAACCGATATGAACATTTTTTCTGATACCGATAACAGATAATTCTTTATATTTTAAAGCTAATAATCGATATATTGTCCTTTAAAACTAAAATCCGAGCCTGATTTTCAAAAACAAAAGTCTCACTATTAAAATCCATGACTCAAACACACAATTATAATGATGTTCTCATAATGATGTTATGTAGCCGATATGACTGACTTGTGCTGCACATGTTGCACTTTACTATATTTTCCTTTTTTGAAGTGATTCTAATAATATTTTAAATTAATTTAAATTTATTAATCGGCTTTAATATATCAGACAATTTGTTTTATTGGGCCGATAACCCAAATCTAATCTTTGATAAGAGTCTCTCCTCTTTTAAAAAACAGCTAAAAACTTGGATTAGGGACAATTACAATTGTAACCATGCACTTAATCCATGAACATACACTCCTTGTTTTTATTTTTTATTTTTATTATACTGTATTTACTTTATACTGTAATTATGTTGAGGGTTAGATGACGTGAGCAATATATTGTCAGTTTGAGGGTAGGCTCATATTGTTTTAAAATTCCTGCAGTATTTTTTTACATTTCTACTGTATTTAGTGTATTTTTATTGACTTTTGTATTTTAGGGTGCCTGTTAAGATCTGGGACTGCAGATGGAAACTAGCACTTGTAGCTAACTCTGGCTTGTTAGCAAGTAACTTGTTTGTTGATCATTGAGCATTGTCCCTATCAAATAAATGAAACGATAACATTATAAAGAACATATACCGGCATAGTGGCTGATATATCGTGCATCTCTAAGTGAAAGTAATTCAACAAAGCGTGTCTTTGGTCATGTTTAGAGGTTTCTCTGAGCTTTTATGATTTGTCTTGTTTAGATTCAACCGAACCTTGTGACAAATGATATAGCAAACGCTCGTCAGCCTCCATATCACAGACAGACAGCGAGTGACTCGATTGTGTTTGATATAAAGGGCAGTTTGTGTGACATTTGAACTTGTGCTTTGTCTTATTGGCTGAGATGCTTCTTCTGCTCTCGATGGACAGTTTGATATATGACATCTAGACGAGACTCATTTGTTTTCCCACTACACCGCTAATGTTCTTTGTGTAGAGTTTAATTTCAAAATGTTATAGCCAGGGGCCGGTTTCACAAAGATTGACAAAATAATAAATATTTAAGAGGAAATATCCCAAAAACGGAAGGAGGACCCCAAGAGGAACTTAAAGACACTGAATTAGTAATGAATATATATGGCCATTTTTCCTTTTCTTTCGGGCTGTTTGTAATGTAACTGAGTGTTGCTGCTGGTTGCCACGGTAACATAAATGCTTTTCACAATGTTTGTAATGATTGTTGCTGCTGGTTGCCAAGGTAACATATATGCTGTTCACAATGTTTGTAATGATTGTTGCGGCTGGTTGCCACGGTAACATGTATGCTTTTCACAATGTTTATAATGATTGTTGCTGCTGGTTGCCAAGGTAACATACATGCTGTTCACAATGTTTGTAATGATTGTTGCAGCTGGTTGCCATGGTAACTTATATGCTTTTCACAATGTTTGTAATGATTGTTGCTGCTGGTTGCCAAGGTAACATATATGCTGTTCACAATGTTTGTAATGATTGTTGCTGCTGGTTGCCACGGTAACATACATGCTTTTCACAATGTTTGTAATGATTGTTGCTGCTGGTTGCCATGGTAACACATATGCTGTTCACAATGTTTGTAACTGATTTTTGCTGCTGGTTGCCACAGTAACATGTATGCTGAGCAAATTTTAGACTTGTCTAACACTATAGACCAGTCTAAAACAGCCCCTGAAACTGGCCCCTGGCTGCGTATTAAAAGAGTTTGACTCAGTATGACGTGGTGAATGCGCTGCTCATTATCACTGATGAATCAGGCCATATAAATCTCTGATCTCCTCCGGCACATCCTTCCCAAACCTTTATATACTCTTCCATTCAAAAGTTTGAGGTCATAAAATTAATACTTTTATTCTGCAAGGACGCATTAAAGTGATAAAGTGAAACATGACAGGAAAGACTTTAATCATGTCACAAATGATTTCTTATTCAACTAAATGCTTTCTATGAATCAAAGAATCATAGTTTCCGTAAATATATTAAGCTGTTTTCAACACTGATAATAATTATAAATGTTTATTGAGCATCAAATCATCATATTAGAGTGATTTCTGAAGGAGTAATCATGCTGGAAATCATCACACTTAACTAAATATTCACATTTTAAATTGTAATAATATTTTAAAAAAGAAATGAAAATTTTATCAAATATATACAGAATTGTCTTTTTTTCAGGAACATCTTCACTGACCTCAAGCCTTTTGGGAGAAATGCATGTTTATGCGCTTTTCATATTCATATCAATCATTGTTTATGAATCCCAGTACCCATAAAGCCCATCCGCTCCATATGTGACAGTCTTACCCACATCAGCTGTTTTACTGCGCTTATAAACCCATTGAGCCGGAGTCACAGCGTTTTTCTCCTCGCGATGTGTTGTAGACTTTGTGTCAGCCGACTTTAATATGCACTTAGATGGACCACAGGGCTGGTTCGGTTTACATCATATATATTATATAGTGGCCTGCCTGTTCCTGTTTTTGGTGACATTAGTCTGAAATTGGATTAAATTGATGTCTGTCGGATGAGCACTTTTCTGCATTTCCTCACTGATCGTCTTGTTTTGACAAGAAAACTCTAGCAGTTCCTGGATGTGCTGTTCATGTCGGGGTCATCTGTGTAATGACTATAATTACACTTCATTAGGGATAATGAGACACTCCTGACGAGTCCATCAGCAAGGGCATACTTTTTAAACAATATGCGTTATACTAACTGCGCATACTAGTGTGGATTATACAGTACTTCTTACTATTTGCCTAAATTAATTGCATTCCCACAATGCATTTCACCTGACGTGACTTTCCCCTTTAAATTTAACAGAAGTGATGTCAATGAAAGCTTGTTTTTATCTCACAACTTGCAATTGCGAGATATAAATTTCCAATCAATTATGACTTTTTCCCTCACAGTTTTTTGCAGGTTCTCATTTTAATTGTGATATTTTATTACCTTTACCAATTACCTTTTTTATGTTTTAATTCTGTGGTGAAAACAAGCTTCTAGAGAAATCTTAGATTCTTAATATCTACTTTTTACCAAAATTGGTTTAAAGGGGGTCGTGTTTGTTTTTTGGGTTTTTGAGGTAACACGTCCTGTTCGAGTTGATATGTGTTTAATTGAGATGAATTTGTTTGACTGGACACAACCTTTGACATCAACAACAAAAAATATGGGAAGTGTTTTTGCTGTCTTTTTAAATGCGATAATCATATTTATCCTGCTGTCTGAACTGTGCACCATTATGCGGTTGGTTGCGTTTTATTATCTGCATTTGGCCTTATGTTTCCCTGTGGAGCAGTTTAAAATCATGATGGATTGATGGTGTAACCAACGCACTGAGGATTATGGGATTGAATTATTGCGCCGACTAGTGGTGAACATTTGTAATAGATATTTTTGAAAGGAAATAAACAGTGTTGACATCTTTATTAAATGTTAGAAAATGAGGTTTATTGGCAGAGTGAGTTTTGTAAACAATGGAATGTAGCAAAACATGACAATATTTAAAGATGTCGATGAACAGCTGCCCTCGTGAATGCCTGTGACGTCATGTCTTCTTCACATTTACTGGCAGTAAAGGTCATACTTCAGTTTGGCTCCGAGTTTTGTCCCAGATAGTTTCGCTTGGAAGAGCTCATCCATCTGTTTACTCTGGACATCGGAAAAATGATTCTTCCAGTCGCCCACCTCGCCTGTTCACAGCAGAAGACAAATCACATGACAGCAAAGTCACTAAGCAATCTTTTCATCATAACCAACAAGTGTAAACATGAAGTAAATCTATCTATCTATCTATCTATCTATCTATCTATCTATCTATCTATCTATCTATCTATCTATCTATCTATCTATCTATCTATCTATCTATCTATCTATCCATTCCATCCATCCATCTATCCATCTATTCGATCGTTCTTCCTATCGCACCATCCATCCATCCATCCCATCCATCCATCCATCCATCCATCCATCCATCCATCCATCCATCCATCCATCCATCCATCCATCCATCCCATCCATCCCATCCATCCATCCATCCATCCATCCATCCATCCATCCATCCATCCATCCATCCATCCATCCATCCATCCATCCATCCATCCATCCATCCATCCATCCATCCATCCATCCATCCATCCATCCATCCATCCATCCATCCATCCCATCCATCCATCCATCCATCCATCCATCCATCGTTCTTTTATCGCACCATCCATCCTTCCATCCATCCATCAGATCGTTCTTTCTATCGCACCATCCATCCATCTCAAGTCTGCATTTATTTGATCAAAAATACAGAAAAAAATGTAATATTGTGAAATATTATTACAATTTCAAATAATGCTTATTTTAATATACTTTAAAATAGAATTTATTTCTGTGATGTATAGCTGAATTTTCAAGACAGTGATCATGTTGAGTAAGAATAAATTGACCAGCTCTACTTGTTTTTCATATGTACTCATATGTTTCTCCTCAATAATCTGTATGAACTCAAAACATTTCTCATCACATTCTCTAAAGATCAAATGATCCGGCTGTTTAAGGAGAATCATCTGAGACCGTGACGTAGATCTGAAGTCCGTCTTTTACCTTTTCTGAAGAAGATGTTGCCGAAATTGCCATGAGATTTCTGAGAGTTTTCCAGCATAGCGTTGAACGTACTCTCCCCAGCGATACTGGTGATCTGCTCATCCGTCAGTGGAAGGTTGAAGAACTCGGAGACTTTCTTCACTCCTTCTGGCAAGTTCTGCATGAACAGAAGAAAAGTCTCAGGGGCCGGTTTCACAAAGCTGTTTTAGTCCGGTCTATAGTGTTAGACAAGCCTAAGATTTGCTCATAGACTAGTCTAATGCGAGTTAGACTGTTTCACAAAAATAAAGACAGACTTAATTTAGACCAAAAAAATTAGACATCTCAGGCTAATTTATGTCTAAGACTCTGTTACCGTGGCAACCAGCAGCAACAATCATTACAAACATTGTGAACAGCATTCTGTATATGTTACCGTGGCAACCAGCAGCAACAATCATTACAAACATTGTGAACAGCATTCATGTTACCTTGGCAACCAGCAGGAACAATCATTACAAACATTGTGAACAGCATATTTGTTACCATGGCAACCAGCAGCAACAATCATTGCAAACATTGTGAACAGCATACATGTTACCGTGGCAACCAGCAGCAACAATCATTACAAACATTGTGAACAGCATATTTGTTACCATGGCAACCAGCAGCAACAATCATTGCAAACATTGTGAACAGCATACATGTTACCGTGGCAACCAGCAGCAACAATCATTACAAACATTGTTAACAGCATCTGTTACCATGGCAACCAGCCGCATTTACGCTTTATTAGATCATGTCATTGCGATACAGAAAGGAAAGACAGCACTGCATCGCACAAAGAAAAAAAAACAACATAACAAAAGTAGAAATGTGAACATTACAGATTTAGAAAAAAAGACTAATGTAAATGTATATAAATATACCTGTTATGACAACTTGTACAACCAATGTGCATGTAAAGATTAAATGTTGTGAGGCGTGAGACCCATTATAATGCATTTTAAACATGACATAAGCAACTGATAATGAGAGAATTGTACATATTCATTTGCATGGACGTATCAAAGCATTTGTAACCCGTTCAAAGAAATGAGAAACTGCTTTTTTTGATGCACAAGTGACACATGATGTGAAGATTGAACAAGTTTTGAGAATTTGAGAGTAACACGCAACTGATCCTGTGCACCATTATCAGTCTCCACAATCATAAATATCTGAAATATAACTGGTTCTACCTGTTTCAGATCCTCATATGTCACGATCATCACGTTTGGGTCGTCTAGACGTTTCTCCCAGGCGAGAGCGTGATCAAAATAAGATCCCCAGGCAACTGAAGAGGAGACGCAAAAACTCGTTATTACTAAATAATTGTGTTAAATAATGTGTGACTGAGTGTTTCCGCACCTTCGCCAGCCATGAAGTCGGAGAAGAACTTGTCCCACGACTCGGCGCTGGGCAGAACCGGGTTTTTGTTCATGAAATGGAAGAACGAGACGAGCGTGTCTTTTGGGTTTCTGAACACCACCAGAATCTGAAAGTAGAACATGTCAAACTCAACCGCCCACACTTTACTGGGCCTCACTAGCTGAAAAGGCTTACATTGGACAAAACTAGTTTTTATTGAAATGCGTAGAGTTTTTGCACATGTTTCTGTGATGGGTTTTGGGGTTGGCTGGGGCAATAGAAAATATCTGATATATTTAAATATCCGACAACCGATATAAACTCAATTAAAGTCTATACAATTTGTGAGTATATGTATCTTTTGATGACAAACAGAATTTATTTGGAATACATTTTTTTGTAACATTATAAATATCTTTAGATTTTGATTGATTTATTGCTTAATCACTAAATGAAAGTATAAACCCTTGAACGGTAGAGTACCGTACAAATCACTGCAGGTGAGCTGTGCACTCGTGTAATCTAGAGCAGCCTTTCTCAAACTTTTTTCAGTCAGGGCACCTTTCAAAAGTGCATAAAATCTCAAGGCACCCCAGTGTAAAATATAATTTAAAAACACTGCATAACCCAAATTTTAATGCAAATGTCTTGTATAGTTAGACAGAACAGTAATGAACAGAGCATAATATGAACTGTAAATAACAATAATAATAAAAACTTTATAGCACCTTTAAAAACACAGGTTTGCAAAGTAATTCACAAAATAATTAATCAGAGACACAAATGCCATAAAACCGTAAGAGGTGGACCGCCCAATACAAGAACCCAATAACAAATCCAGACCAGGAGAACTCAAATGAAGTGCAGGATGCAGATAAAATAAAATAAAAATCCCCGGCTCTTGTGGGGATTTTCTTTTCAAAAAACGATCCATAATGCTGTAACTAAAGTGGCCTAAATTCACGTTTATTTTTACGTTTCTGTCAGTCTGAGGTGTTGCTATAACGCGTTGCTATGGATTGCGTCACTTGCGTCAAGTTGTGTGTGTCTTGCTTCGGTCTTGTGAGACGGATTTTTTTATGATTAATTTTATATGTTTATCTAAAATGAATTTACAATTTTATTAATATGTTCATATGTTTAAAAAGAAGAATGTAAATTCAAATATATTTATATATGAAATGTCAGCTGTTTTTTTTTTCTGGGTTTTTTTTTTCCACATTTTTTTTAGCCTACGTAATTTTTTGGCGGCACCCCTGACACAGCTAGGGGGCACCCCAGTGTGCCGCGGCACCCACTTTGAGAAAGGCTGATCTAGAGTCACATGACCTCTGTTACGTGATTCAAAGTTCACTCGTTGTCTCTGACCTTTGGCTTCTTGGTGAAGAAAGAGGCAGGCATGAGGTCAGGGTGCAGATGAGTTCCCAGAAGCCTCGGCACGGGCATTTCAGACAGTTTCTGTGGGTCAAACGGTGTGAAACTGTAATGTTAAACATGCTGTGGTGTGTGTGTGTTCAGACTAAACATTCCCAGATTGTTTGTGCTGTTGCTGACCTCTTGGACATCTGGAGGTAAAAACTCCACCAGAGGCGGCCTTTCAGGAGGCGGCTCATTTCTCCCCGAGGAAGCATTCACGATTTTCCGCAAGACGGCCACCATCCAGTTAAACCCTGCGAGAGATCGAGTACAAGCAGATTTAGTGGAGAGGGAGAGAGAGACTTTATCTCACTGAGAGAAGCAGGAGAGAGTAAATGTGTGTGTATGTCTACACTGCAGTTCAAACGTTTGGGGTTGGTTCTAGGCATTTCCCAAACTATCGGTATCGGCAATTATAATGGCCGATAAATGACTATTTCAAAAATAAAATAAAAACGGACGAAACGGTAACACTCTACAATAAGGTTCATTTATTAAACATTAGTTAATGTATTAACTAACATGAACTAACTGTGAGCAATACATTTGTTTTTGTTAATCTTTGTTAACGTTAGTTAATACAAATCCAGCTGTTCATTGTTTGTTCATGTTAGTTCACAGTGCATTGACTAATGTTAACAAGATTTTAATAAAGTATTAGTAAATGTTGAAATCAACATTAACAAAGATTAACAAATGCTGTAGAAGGTTTGTTCATTCTTAGTTAATGTTAACTAATGTAGTTAACTAATGAACCTTATTGTAAAGTGTTACCGACAAAACACGCTTCAACCATGTCATGAGTGTTGGAGTTGTATAGTTTGTCCACCAGAGGGCACTCTACACCGTCCCTGTTGGCAACACGCCACACATCCTGCAACCTGCTGATCCAGGTTGCAGGTAGCTTAAAAGGCAATGTAGGGACTAATTATTATTTTATTTATCAGAACTTTAATATATTTTGATGTTCCTCTGTTCTGTTGTGACAATAAAATAAACAAGTTTCAAATGCATTATCATATTATTTTAGTCAAAACTCATAAATAACTACAAATAACTAATGTTAGGGAAATCTGTTAATGTTTTGTTGCACGTTTCTGAAAATATATATATATATATATATATATATATATATATATCGGCCGATATATCGGAATATCGGATTTTAAAACCAACAAATATTTGTATTGGTATCGGCTAGGGATGGGCAACGATTAATCACGATTAATCGCATCCAAAATAAAAGTTTGTGTTTACATAATATATGTGTGTGTAGTGTGTATAATTAATTTGTATATATAAATACCCACACATGCATGTATATATTTAAGAAAAATGTGTTATTAATATATCAAATATTTATATTTATATATATACTATTAATTGTGAATAAATATATATAAAATATACACATGCACATTTTTCTTAAATATATACATGCATGTGTGTGTATTTATATATACAAATTAATTATACACACTACACACACATATATTATGTAAACACAAACTTTTATTTTGGATGCGATTAATCGAGATTAATCGTTGCCCATCCCTAGTATCGGCCTTCAAAATCCTTTATCGGTCGGGCTCTAGTCGGTTCGATTTCTTTTTGCTCTTCAAGGCTGAATTTATTTGCTTAAAAATACAAACAATACAGTAAAAATTGTAAAATATTTTTACAATTTAACACATCTGTTTTCTATGTGAATATATAGTAAAGTGTAATTTATTCCTGTGATCAAATCTGAATTTTCATCATCATCCTTCAGAAATCACTCTAATGTGATTTGATGATCAAAAAACATTTTATATACATATATGTTTACCAATCTTGAAAAGAGTTGTAGACGCTTTGATTCTTCACATATTTGAAATACAATCTTTTTACTGTAACTTTTGATCAATTAAATGCATATTTGCTGAATAAAAGTATTGATTTATATAAATGTAAATACAATTTACATCAATTTTGATGCACATTGTAAAACCCCATTACGTAATTGTGAAATTCCTCATTACAGTGTTATGATTTTCTCTACTGTAAACACAGTTCAGATTTACACAAGTGTGTGAGCTTCACGAATGCACAGAATTGCTTCAGTCATCAGTGTCCAGAATTGCAGCTTGAGTCGTGTTGACATTATCACGCAAGATCTGCAAACATGTGTTGATCATCAGGTCACATGACCCGGATTTCTTCCATGTTCATCTTAGTGTGTAATGTTGCTGTTTGAACATGAAAAAGCTCCAGTTCTTCTCTATATCAGCGTTAGTGTTTCTGAAACACCTCCACTGTAGTCTTGAGTTTCTTAGAGTTTTCTGTAGTCTTGATTATAAGAATAAAGGGGCGGGGCCTGGTGGAGTTAGTTAGTAGTGTGTTAAACTGGCAGTTATGGAAAGGGGCGGGGCATTTCCCAAACACACTCAAAGCGCTCGACCAATCACGACACACTACTCCAGCCGACCAATCAGAGCACAGTGTGCTTTTCAGAAGGAGTGGCTTCATAGAGACAGGAAGTAAACAGAGCGTTACTGACAGACTGGAAAGACATAGACATATACACTAGACGTCACCTTGGCTACGGCACTTCATTGGAACGAATGCGTCAATAGAGCCGCCATCTTGAAACAGGGGAGCCCCTCCACTTTAATGCATCAGCGTCAATGTAGTAGACACAGGTCTAACGGAAATAAAATCACCATAAATCATCATGAATGCGATTTTTCTTGTTTTTTTGGTTTGTTCCAACGGTCAGACATGTATTTATCATTGATTCCAGAAAGAAACATTGTTTTTTTTTTTTTTTTAAACATTCTTCCTAGTTCAGATTTCATCCGTGAACATCATACGCTGCACAAAAGTCCGCCACCATCAATGAATTCGACGTAAAGGCAGAGATAGCAGCGTTACCTAGCTACTTCCTATGACAAGACCCCTGTTCCAAGATGGTGGCCGTTTTGACGCATGCTTAGAACCCCAAGGTGAGGTCTAGTGTATATGTCTATGCTGGGAAGAGAGGAGCCGCAACAATGGAGAATATGAGGAGAATAATCAACATTCAAGCAGGAAAACAACACTTTGTAAAAGGGTGTAATACGACCCTTAAAAGGAAAAACTAAATCTGTTTGAAAGTTCCAATGCCTTAGAGCAACGTGACCAAAGAAAGTTATGTAACTAACATGTAACCCGACTCCACAAGCAGACTTGTTTCTGACACTCACCACATTTAGGGTACGCCACCAAGATGAGGTCGTCCTCTCTGGCCTCCAGCTCTTTTAGCTTGTCCAGGGTCTCTGGTGGGCTGAGAATGGTCGAGTATAGGATTCCCTCTCGCTTATAAAGCTTGTCTTCATCCTTCATCTTCGCTGCATTCTCCATCCTGGACTTCATTTGACTCATAGGTGGTGTTTGACTCATGTTTGCAGTCCTGGTGCTCGCTGTGAGCTTCAGATTCGCAGATGGACACACACACACACACAGAGAGAGAGAGAGTATTTATGCACGAAGGAGATTGTTGTAGATCCGCCCACATTGACGTCTTGTGTGAGAAAGGTTAGTTTCATGAATGAACACAAGGGCCCGTGTCAATCTGACTGATTGAGACTACACTAGCTAGTGTTCCTGAAAAGCTTGTTTTGGCAGAGGTGAAAGGTAGAGTTTAATCTGTAATCAGTTCATGTTTCTCGGCGGCTGAACAGGAAACACTTCGTTTACTTGCTATACTTTCTGTCCTTTGACATTTATCATAATAGTTTATTAGCCTGCATAAAATTGTTTCTTTGTTTTAAAATATTACAGTAAATTAATATATATATATATAAATACAAATACTTTTGATTTAAAAATGTCAATCTTGCACATTTAAAAGTATTGTTCACTGTAAGTTCATATTGATTGATTTTAAAAATATTAACAAATGTGACAATTGTAAAGTGTTACCAAAATGAGTTAGCTTAAACACTATAAAAAATATTGTTGGTTTAACTTAAAAAGTAAGTAACCTGGTTGCCTTAATTTTAAGTTGATTGAACTGGAAAAAGTGAGTTAATACAATGAAGGAGATTAATTTAACCATCAGAAACTCAAAATAATAAGTTATCTCAACTAAATAAATTATTATAAAGTTGATTTGACAAAAGAAAAAATGTTGTGATAACAAATCTTGAAAATATTTTTTACAGTGAAGATATTATTTATAGATTCATATTATTTCCATCCTTCTTGTCACTGTGTAAATAATCGAGTTAAAATGACAGAAGTTTGCAACTCAAGCGTAAATCTTTTGATAAAGTCTGAGAATTAGCGTGCGATCCTTGCATGTTTCATTATCACTGCTGCATGTGTTCTGAAATATTAATTTATTTATTGCTACTGATTGGAAATATTATCTGGACATTATCAGTTTGGCAGTGGAAGCATGATGTCAGCAGTTTCAGCAGATGGGTGTGTGTGTGTGTAACCTTTAGATTGAATGCAGTAGATGCTGCACCTTTATATTGATAGTCACTCCTGAACTGCAGTCATTGGATCATTCGTGCCGTCTGTCCGTTGTCTGCTACTCTGTTTTTAGTTTAAAGTTGAATCATGGACATGATAAACTTACTCTCTTTAAAAGTAAAAATTAAACGACTGGCATGAAAATTAGCCACACTGCAGATGTTTGCTATTTAGTGCTTATCATTCGTATTTAATAAATTAAAATATAGTTTGTTTTAAATAAAACAGTGAGCATTGAAAATAATTTTCTATTACAAGAAAGTTTTCTTCTTTCATTTAAGATGAATATAAGTAATAAAGACACTTAAGATGAATATAGTGAAACCATAAAAAAAAAATCCTGTGAAATATGAGACTCAGAATTGAGGCTTTGACAAATATTTGTGTTACCCAAAACATGTACAGTAAATATAAAACATTTATTTGAAATGCATTCATTTAGCATTTATACTTTAATCAAAACACTAAAAGCATGGTGGGAAATTATTTATTTTTAATTATTATATTATATTATATTATTATCATTATTATGTAATTACAATAATTTATATGATTTAAAAAATATATTTGGGATTTTTATATTATATATTATTAAAGTTTTTAATAATATTATTTATTACTCTATGGTCACACTATTAACTATGACTTTTCCCTCTATATACACTCCTAATAACGCTATAATAATGCTTATTAATAGTTAGTAAGGTAGTTGTTAAGTTTAGGTATTATAGGATTAAAGGATTTCAAATGTGATCATGCAGAATAAGGCATTAATATGTGCTTTTATAAGTACAAATAAACAGCCAGTATGCATGCTAATAAGAAAATAATTAATAGTAAGAATTGGACCCTATACTTAAGCATAACCAAACTTAAATTAGGAATTTACATTTTATACAATGTATAATAAATTATATATTTTTTTTGTGTCAGTGTGTTTTAGTGTGTGCATGCAGGCAGTGGCCTCTAGATGTCAGTATTGTTGTATGCAGATTTTTAAGTTTCGTTCACTGTTGGGATGTTGGGAATTCCCGGCTGGGATCACCGTCCTCACAGCTTGATTCAGACACAGAAAAGGTGATTAATACTCAGTGTTGCAATCACTAAACCCAGTAATGAGCAGCAGTAATGCTGTGATGTTGACTTGCACTCGAATGCATGATTTGTGAGCCATGCATTGATTTTCACCTTATATATGTATATATCCTTCTGCGTTCACCAGGAATGTTGCATCCTATCCTCCTAAACGAGTTACTTCCAGGTCATGTGACTGTCTCACATAGGATACATAATGAGCATTTGACAGCGCCCATGCAGGGATGCTGACGGTTTAATCCTCGCTTTGGGAATTATCAGGGTATTTTCCATCTGCCAGAGATGGAGGAGCAGCCCGTGTCTGGAGCAACACTGGACCGGCATTCCCGATAAGCAGCTTTGAGAAGGAGGGGACTGAAACCTACCGTCCATCTGCAGGCCTGTGCGTCTCACGTCTGCAGTACAGAGACCAAGATTATTCAGAGAACATGTTTATAAAAGTGACGGATGCGTTCCAGTTTACTTTAATCTGGTTTACAGTCGGCGTGAAACAGAAGTTGCACTAATCTTTTCTTCCCCGATTGTTGTGTTGTATATCTTCTGGAACAAGAACAAATGTGGGCGGGGCTTGATTGTGCCTGTGAGGAATTGATTGGATGGTTGTGGTTTGCTACTGGCTGATCTCGTGTGAGTGACAGGTTATAGCCCCGCCCTCGTCATCAACTTATTCTGATTCAAGATTACCAGGGAAATGAATTCAACACAACATTGATCATCATTTAGAATAAATAATGCAATATTGCATGGTGACTTTGAGTGGCTGATATGTTGATTTTGCAAGATTATCTGATATATTTGAGTGGATCTGTATCTTTAAAGGACAATAATGCATGTCTGAACTATGTATTACTTCTTATGTGCCTTAAAGGTGGAGTGTATTGTGTGAATGTTAAAATCCCTTCTTCTATCTCAGTTTGCAAGATCAGCTGCGGTGCTTATTTTTCCTAAGCAATCTGAGACCTTTTATTAGATCACTTTTCATCTGTGGACGTCATAGATCTGGCTATGTGAGACTATAGTTTGAATCAATCCATGACACACATTAAGATTACAGCACAGAACGGCTCGTTCAGCTTATTATCCTGAACATTGTATAAGCATTCGCTCGTTTCATGTGTCGTTGAACGGCGTAAACGTCACATGCTTTCGATATTCCCGGCAAAAACGACTCGGGTCCTTCACATTAACATCTACAGGCTTTCATAGACGACACAGGCAGTCTGGGAAGTTTCATTACAAGCTATTCACATATTGGCAATAAAAATGGATCAATACATCAAAAATCTTACATATAGCCCCTTTAAACTAAATGAAACTAGCAATTTATCAGTTTTTTTGCAACATCAACAATAAGAACAACCAAAATTGGCCTGGTACAACACATGAAACGTCTCCGACATCAGACAAGCAGCAAAACACTACAAAAGAAAAACAATTCTTTATGAAAAACAAAATCTATTCTTGTGTAAAAAGAGTTTCCCAAGTGCCAAATCTAGCGTTTTATCTTTCATAAAAAAAACAAAAATGGCATTTTCCTGTGTTGGTACAGGTAAACCTTCACATTTAGGGAATAACCAGTAATGCAAGTCCTCCCAAAAGGTATAGGCACATTTACAATCATAAAACATATGCTCTGTTGCTTCGATCTGATCAACACAACTGTTAACATCAAAACCAAGACGACATCTTAAAAATTCTCCAAACTTCACTCAAGATTTTATGATTTTAGCTTTTCGTGTGACAAGACCATGCGGAATGATTGAACAGCAACTTGGGTTAATGTGTGTTTGTACCTATCATTTCATGCTGAAAGCAAAGTGCACTTAAAATGTATTTCCTTTGCTTTTATTGCAAAGATATTTTGTTCTTAAAATCTTAACTCCAGCACTGGAGAAATATTGAAAAATTGAGTTTTTATGTGAATAATAAGGATATAGTTCCGAATTGTAACATGGGTAAATTTATGCGAGTAAGAGAACCTCCATTCACCCAAAGCTGAAGAAGACCGGGGGTTACATTACTCTGAGATACACTGAAAGACATCTGAATTATAGATTGTGGGATTGCTTTGATAATGTTATCATACTTTTTTCTGTCAAAAAAAATAATTTTAAACAGAAAGTCTCGAAGGACATAATGACATAACCCTGGCTGGAATATGCTTTTACCTTCAGTTCCCCAGTTGGTCTGCGGCGGCTATTTTAGTGTTGTAGTTTCATGCACTCGTCTGCCTTGAGCGGGCTGATCGTTCTGGACAGAGTACCTGTTTCAGCAGCGTCTGGATCCGACCCACAGCACAAACAGCATCTTTACATGCCCACGGGTTAAATATAGCTACCAAAAACAACAGTGAGCAAAAATACTACACGCAGAGAGACCCATGCATACATTTAATTGCATTTATTAATTAGTACATGTTTTATCTACAGTAGATTTGTATGTATTTGTGCTCCGTCGTGGTTTAAAGGGATAGTTCACCCAAACATGTAAACTGTGTCAGTAATGACTCTCCCTCATGTTGTTCAACCCTCTTTCAGACTTTCGTTCATCTTCCGAACACAAATGAAGATATTTGTGATTAAATCTGAGAGCTGGATCACTCCTCCATAGGCTTCTGTTGTAATTGAAACTTGCCGGCCCAGAAAGTTATTAAAGACATTGTTAAAATAGTCCGAGTGACGACAGCGGCTCAACCTTAAGTTTATCAAGCGACGAGAATACAAAACACACAAAAATAACGACTTTATTCAACTATTCACTTCCTTCTCTGGGGGCCTCGATTTTGTTAACGTAGTGTATCAGCGCAGCGCTTAATATTTTAATCAAAATCAAAAAGACTACCACATAGGCTAGATATATAAAAGCTATCATGATCATTTTGCCAACAATGAACAATGAATT